GCCCTCCCCCAGAGCCTGGCCAGCCCCAGTCATGGGAGAGTCTTGGGCCTTGTGTTTCAGGATGGGTTCCAGGCCCTGGCATGCCCCAGCCAGTCTCTCCTGTTGGATAGTTACCCTGAAACCATGTCCTTCTTGGAAGCCTTTGTGTTCCTCACTGTGACCCAGTGGGCAAGCCCACTTTCTGGGTGTCCCTCTCTCTCTCCCAACCACATGGCACTGCTTCAGCCCAGCCCTTTGGGTGGCTTCACAGGTCCTGTATCTGCTTAGTCTCAGAGGCTGGCCTTGCAAATACCCATACTGCCTGAGAAATGATGTTTGCTGTTCCCCATCTTTGGACCCTGGGGTTCTGGAGAACCCAGGGCAGCCTCTGCTGCTCCTGCCACTAAGAAACCCTCTCCAAAGTTGTCCCAGGAGATCAAGGATCACTGAGAGCATGGAGGGGAAGGAGGATTCATGGTAGAGGGAGGACTCCTTGGCCTTCAAAGGGGACCTGGTCAAAAAAAAGTTGAGGAAGCTTTCTTAATCATAACTGCCCAGCTGTGCCCAGGGAGAGGTGGAGTGCTACAAACTGAACTTGTACCCTTGGCCTGCCAGTTCCCTAGAATCCATATGACAATGTTAAGTTTGGACTGGGCTTAAAATCTTAAGCCATTCCCTTGCCCTTCCAGATTCCTCTTGCTCTGGAAGGCTGACCTGAGCAATCTATGTCAAGATGCTCCTTTGCTTTCTAGATTCTAGTTGGATTCAGCCAATGGGTAGCCCCAGAAGGAGATGGGGGGCAGGAGGAGAATGAGGTGGGAGGGGGAATTAATTCTCCTGGCTACCTCTCCAGGGGCTGCTATGGGGTGCTGTGTTCCACTACTGAAGGTGCTAGCTCCTGCCACAGCCCTCTTTGTCGCTGGGTTCTGGTGGTGTTCCCTTCCTCCTCCCTTCAGGCTAGGGGTGGAATGGAGCCCCCTGTGATGACCCATGGGCCATGCACCATCCCACATAGTTTCCCAACACTCTGCCTACACCTTGGGAAATGGTCTTCTTATCAAACTTCCTTGGATGATTCCATATGAGTCCACTTGCTTCCTGCCAGAACCCTGATAGATACACACCCGGGGAATGTATGTGCTTACTGTGAATCTGATGCCCATGGTGGCTGAGAAGTACATGGATGAACTTGCCCTGGTTGAACTTAACCAGCAGAGATGTCTTCCTCTTGCCACTGTCACCCACCAGAATGGTCTGAAATTGCAGCAGAGAGAGGGATCAGGGCCGGTGCTGGGCATAGGTTTCTGAGACATTGTGTGGCGGTGGGAGAGGGTTCTTTCTAAATACACACAGACACATACATTCTAAACTCTTGATTTTCTGTCACATTCACTGAATAAGGCATGAAGGCACAGCGGAAATCTCATCCCAACCTAAGTTAACAAACACCTGCGGTGACCATGAGAATATGGCTCCTAGACCTCCAACCAAACAAAAAAAACAGTTGCTGATGAGTAGATTCTGGCTCATGGTGACCCCATGTGTGCAAGAGTAGAACTGCACCCTATAGGGTTTTTCTCAATGGCTGTAAACTTTCAGAAGTAGATTCAAACCACCAACATTTCTGTTAACAGCTAGTGCTATTAACAAAGACTCTAAGGCAGTCCTGTTCTCAGGAGACATGAGACTCCTCTGATAGCAGGTGTTGACTAGAGGACTCCATGATGGCCTTCTGGAACCTTCCAAAAATTGCACAGCAGTTTAGGATGCTCCCACTCAACCTTCCTCCCCTCTTTCCTTCACTTGGGGTCAGACCTGCTCTATGGTTCTGACTGCTCTCCTAGCCTCTCCTGGCTCCTACATCATTTTCTCTCATTAAAAAAGAAAACGTAAAAAGCATAATGACTGATAAAACTTCCTTGGGTCAGGCCCATGAGCCTCAGCTCCTCAAATATTCCAGATGGGTCTGTCTAAATCCATGACCTTAGATACACAATGAGGAGCCCCGGTGACACAACAGTTAAGCACTTGGCTGTTAACCAAAAGGTTTGTTGTTCAAACCCACCCCCCAACCGCTCCACAGGAGAAAGACCTGCTGATCTGCTCCCGTAAAGATTACAGCCTAGAAAACGCTGTAGGACAGTTCTACTCTGTCACATGTAGTGTGAGTCAAAAATTGACTTGAGGGCACCCAACAACAACAGATACACAATGGAATTTCTCTCTCTACTCAACAGCTGCTGGGATTTTCCTGATGCTTCTCCACATTGGTTCTAAATTTCACTGCTTGGAGAAGCCAAATGTCAACTTTAGGTCCCTCTTCCAGAGCATGTATGTGGCACAGTGGTTAAGAGATGGGCTACTAACCAAAAGGTCAGCAGTTTGAATCCACCAGCCACTCCTTGGAAATCGTACAGGGCTGCTGTACTCTGTGCTATAGGGTCACTATGAGTTGAAATTGACTCGACTGCGATGGTAACCACGGTTCTAACAAAAACCTCTGTGTCACCTCACCACTGATCACACAAGTGTCTGTTTTCTCATCTGAAGCTATTTTATTTATGTCTGTATTTATACCTCACCCACTTCCAAAAGGGATTTGAGGTGGCTTAAAACAAAACCTACATATACAACAAGGCAACGAAAGATAATGCCTGAGAAAGGATACACAGGAAATGTGTGTTTGTGGAGCGAGACTGGTTATTGCTGCATTTAAGCATTGCATTGCATTGCATTTGGTTCTAAACTTCCTGGCAATCATGACAAAATGGGAAACAAGATGGTACTTGTGGTACTTATTATCTGATAAAGAAAGCTTGAGCACTTTCAGTCAACGAAGAGTTTTTCCCAGCATGTGATTCTAAGAGAAATTTATTGTGTGGATTCTTTTTTTATTATTATTATGGTAAATATATACGTAACAAAACATTTGCCATTTCACTGTTTTTTTCTACCCGTACGATTCAGTCACATGAATTACATTCATCTTGTTCTTCAACCATCACCACTATTTGTTTCTAAAATTTCCCATCACCCTTAACAGAAGCTCAATGTCCCATAAGCAATGAGTCCCCCTTTCCCTCCCCTCTCTCCGTTCTGTCCCTAGTAACCACTAATAAACTTAGCTCTCTATACACTTGCCTATTCTAGATATTTCATATTGTAATATGGATTCTTACCCAAGGGACCCTGAATAACAAATGGGCAATTGTGATTTTGCAGAAGAGGCAAGGTGTTTCCAATAGCTGTGGTATCAACCCTTGATAAAAGCAAGACCTAACGGCCTAACACTAAATCATATTCAGTGGAGGCTTGTTGGTGGGAGCTGGGCTAATGTTAAGTAGGCTTCTTTCCTGCCACTCCAGGATTCGGGGACAGCATTTAAAAACCTTAATGAATAGGGGAGTTACAACACTCATAAAGTGACTCTGAATGACCTTCTTAACAGGACAGGAAATTCATACACCATTAAGAAAAATATCGACAAATCTGACTGCATAGAAATACGAACGTTCTGGTTGACAGGAGATACCAGAAACAACATTAAAAGAGAAATGATAAAGGGAAAATATTTGCAACGTGTATGCCACCGCTCAGAGCCACTCAGATAAGTCTCCATTCTTGATTCAAAGGGGATCCTCCCAGGCTACTCTGGGCTCAGGATCAGAGGGCTGGGCCACAGGCAGGGCTTCTAGAAGCTCAGAAGCTGTTCCCTCCTCACTGTCCACGCTCAAGAAGGAAGGGCTACCCCATGGCCCTCAAAGCAACTGCCCCCTGTCTTCCAGGGCTGCCCATCCTCTTGATTACTCCATCATTTTCCCTGGGAGTCAAGGCTTCCTTGTTTGCAGAGGATGATGCAGTGTCCTGCGTGGAGGGTATGCTGAAAGAACAGTGGGGACTAGAAGGGGGCTGAGCCCTCCCCCCATCACTGATTTCATCTTATGGCTGGACATACGTGAAGTGAGAGGCCATGTCAGCCACATCCTGGAACACCCTCACCTTACAGCTGTTGTTTTTCTGTGCAAATAACCCTCCTGCACACCAACTCACTCCTGATGAGGGTGAAAGGGGGGTCATGTCCCTCCGTGGGGCTCATTGACTCCTCAAGATGTCCCAGGGCATGTATGACACATAGCAAAAGTGGTTCCAGGTGCACAATGTGAAAAAGGCCCAATTCCTTTCACAACCTCTGAGCCTGTTCCCAATGGCTTGCTGGGATCTTGATGGGATAGTGGCAGTAGGGAGATGGGCAAGGTTGTCAGAAAGAAAGGAATAAGATAGACAAAGCTGCTACTTGCTTTCTTTTCTCCTTTCTTCCTTACCTCAACAAATATTTTATTACAGAGATGGGGTGGGGGTGAGAGGAAGAGTGATAGTCACTAGAGTGAGCTACTTTCTTCAAGGTGGGGCCCCTGGTACAATTAACAATTTTCTAGAGTGTCCAGGTTAGTGTGAATATCCGTGGGATCTCACCTGATGGGCCTGGCACAGCAATGAGAGTTTGGTATGTTCTTTGGACAGCCGTCCCTCTTGTCCATTGGATGAGTAGTTCCAGGCTGGCATCTCCCTACCCTTGGAGCTCCTGTCTTTGTACTCTAGGTTTTGATACTGTCTTAGGTCTCTCATGCCCTCATTCCAAACTCTGGTCTAGAATCTGTCCTTTGATCTTCTGCCTTTGGCCCCAAGCCTCTCACAATCCCATTGAACTCCTGACCTCTTTGAATCTGGCTACACTCAAAGTTCCAGGTCCTCGGGTCCCCAAGACCCCCTCCAGTGGAGCTGGATCCCCCTGCCCCAGCTTCCCCACCAGAGGAGGAGGATTAGACTGAACTATTCAGAAACAATGGTTCTGTGTCTGCAAAGCCCCACAAAGCAGGGAAGAGGCCGTGAAGTTCTCTTTTTAGAGAGAGCCCATTGTGGTCCTGGACAGGGAGGTATTTCTCAAAAGCTCATGATCCCCATGACTTCTTGCATTGCTAACTACCCTGAAACTTCACCAATTCCACCTCCTTCTTTTTTAGTCTGATTCATCATTGGGAAGTGGCTGCCAGAAGAAGTGCAAGAGTGAGAGTGAGAGAAAGAAGAAGGGCTGGAAGACAAAGGGGTTGAATTTGTAGTCTGATCTTGCTGATGGGCTCCACCATGGGGGACAAGTGTGAAGAAAAAATGCACCTGCTGCTGCTCGTCTCCTTCCTCTTCTGGCATCTAGGTGAGCGCAGGACCTGGGTCTATATCAAGCAGAGAAGCTTATCCAGCAAGGAGTGGCTGGCAGACTGGGGAGGGAGCCCAGCAAGAAAGTATCCTGCCAAGAATCTGACCCTGTTTCTAAGTAATTCTTCCAAATACTGTTATGAACCCTGTGTGTTCCATCCAATCACTCACTCAACGCGTAAATATTGCGCATGATCTTCCTAGTGAACTCAGCACCAGGCATACTTCCTGATCACCCAGGAGCTGACGTTACAAAATGGACAGACTGATCAGCCACCTTGGTCAGGGAAATGAGGAGGACTGAAAGGTCAGCAATTGGAACCAACCCAGAGGCTCTGAGGAAGAAAGATCTGGCTATCTGCTCCTTTACGGATTACAGCCTAGAAAACCCTATGGGGCAGTTCTACTCTGTCACATGGTGTCGCTCTGAGTCGGAATCGACTCGATGGCACCTAACAACAAAAGATCAGTATAACACAAAGATGGTTGCAAAAGGACATCCCTTGAAATATAAAGATTACAATTGTCCCTCAGTATCCACAGAGATTGGTTCCAGGACCCCCACGGATACCAAAATCCAAGGACGTTCAAGTCCCTTATATTAAATGGCATAGTATTTGCATATAACCTGCACACATCCTCCCATATACTTTAAATATTTCTAGATTACTTATAATATCTAATGCAGTGTAAATACTGGGTAAATAGTTGTTTCATCACAGTTGAAGACTCGCTCTGGAAGGTAGCCTTTTTCTTCTATGAGTTTCTTGAGCTCTTCTGGGAATACTGATGCTGCCTTGGCATTGGCCGATGCAGATTCTCCCATGATCTTTAAGTTCTTGAGGCTGTAGTGCTTTACATAGCTAGCCAGCAATCCCTTACTAGCCTTGACCTCCTTACTCTCACTCTCCTCAACCCCCTCACAGTAGTGCTCACAGAGGCTAAGTGCTTTTACATGCATAATTTTGCCATCAGCAGGGATATGCTTCTGTGAAATGTCCTCTAGCCACATCCGTAATGCTTTCTCGGTCTTTGCAACCACTTTATCAGGAACCCAGGCTTTTTAGGAGCCATTTTTCTCACAGAAACAAAGGGTGCACACAGCACAAGTAGTGAACAAATGATTCAGAGGTGAATAATGCTCAAACAATGAGTGCTAGAGTGAGACTGAGGATCTGTGAAATGGCGGAAAGCTACAGCAGGGGATGCCTACACATCATTTCATTTGTGTGGATTCAGCGTAGTGCTAGGTGCTTGGCAAATTCAAATTTTGCTTTTGGAACTTTTTTTTTCTTCAGTATTTATGATCTGCAGTTGGTTGAATCCTGGATTCAGAACCCAAGGATACAGAGGGTCAGTTGTATATTGGCCATAGGGAAGCGAGAGCAGTGAATTGTAAAAAGCTGTTATTGCTCAGTGTCAACATTTTTATTTCTTTTGAAATCTGTAGTTATGCTCTTCAGTGACTTAAATGGTGGCTTTGACGAGTGGAATTTTGAAAAACAAAAGGTGTGTCTTGTGGAAGGTATATTCCTTCCTTGACTGTTAATTCAACTCATCAAGCACTTGGATTTGGGAGCTATTCCCACTGCAAGAGGCTGTGGCTCTCCCTTCAGGCTGGGAGGTAACAGGTACATGGATTTGTGTTTTCCAGGCTGTTCCGCCATGTGGGGTCCAAATGTGATCAGTGGCCCAGAGGGAAACTCATTGACTGTGCTGTGTCATTATGACCCAGGATGGGAGACCCACTACAAGTGGTGGTGTCGAGGAGCTGTTTGGAGTAGCTGCAAAATCCTTGTTAAAACTACTGGATCAGAGCAGGAGGTGAAGGAAGGCCATGTGTCCATCAGGGACAATCATAAACAACGCATATTCACTGTGACCATAGAGAAGGTCACAGAAGATGATGCAGATTTGTACTGGTGTGGGATTGAGCGAGTAGGAACTGACCTTGGAGTCCTGGTTAAAGTGTCAATTGACTCAGGTAAGTGTGTGTGTGTGTGTGTGTGTGTGTGGATGAGTCTTTCAGTGTCTCCTCTGTCCTGGTCCCTGGGGGTTCTCTTGAGTGACTGAACTGTGGGCAAGCCAGAGGGGTGGTCGATCCCTGGGGTGTCATTGAACCACACTGGCCACTTGGGATTGGGAGGGGCTTCTCTTACAGGGTTGCTCTTGGCTCCCAGGATGGAATGCAGCCCTTCTGGGCACATTCTCTTCTCTGCACAGCTCAGTCTCTTTCCCATAGAGAATAAGGTGATGGCCCCCAGTTCCAGCCCATGGACCAAATGAACTTCATTCCATGGGACTCAGAGAACCCAATCCCTGCCAAAGCTTTCCTGAGACCTCTGGTGCCCAGGTGTGACTGTTCTTTGTAGTTCTCGATTGAAATTTCATTGCCTCTTGGCAACCTTGGGGAGACAGAGGCCCATCATAGTCAAGTAGCTGTGGTCTCATTTTGAGGTAAGGAAAGGCCCCCACAGTTAAACATCTGCACTCCTGGTGCCTGAAATCTCACTGTCAGCGATTTATGCATTTGGACCTAATAATTTCTCTTTCTAAGTACTTCTAGAAAGCAAACACTCCCGGGAAGGTCAGCTTAGAGGTCCCAGTGCCTTGGCTGAAGTTTATCTATCGGGCTCTGCTTCTGCTGACACTTGAATAGGCAGCACAGGCTCTTGGAACACTTGGGACACCACAGTCAACAGAGCTCCAACCACACCTGGCCCTATGAGGCATGCTACAGTTTGCAAAGTGCATCGTGCACATCGTCTCACTTGATCCTCATAGCACTCCGGAGAAGTGGATAGCCACATCCTAGAAGCTTAGTAACTTGTCCAAAGTAAAGGCTTTTATTAACATTATGATTTTGTTTAGAACTAGCTCTGACCTTAGAAGTCACAGATGTAGAGTACATGTTAACAACACTGTGCAAGCTTCCCTCCTTCCATGTCCTTTCTGGATAAATAAGATCGGGGGGAGGCATGGGATGAGGCACTGTCAAAAGCAGTGGAAACATTTAAAATCCAGGTGAACTCCAGCCACCCTTATCCTGAGGCTCTTCCTGGGCCCCCTCCAGCCCTTCCAGGGCCTGATAATGTCCTCTCTGCACCTGTGTCCAGCCTCACCTGTTTCTGAGGCTGTTGAGGTTCCTAGAGACTGGGGAGATAGGAAAGATCCAGGTTAGTGTCCCCTCTTCACAGCTCTGCTCCACAATCCTTAGGCAAGGGCACCCCCTCACCTTCCCCAGGCTAAGAGCCATGTACAGGGCTAGGTTGCTCAGCAGGCAGAGTGGTAAGTTGCTGTGTGATGAATCGTTTTTATATGGCCTTTCTAACCATGGCTTTGTAACTCTCATCAAATGATTGGGTGGGACTATGCAAATAAGGTGCACCATACCAAAGCCAAAAAAAAGTTGTCGTCCAGTCGATTCTGACTCATAGCAACCCTATAATCCAAGAAGCTGGACTATATGAAGAAGAACGGGGCATTAGGATTGGAGGAAGATTCATTAACAACCTGCGTAATGCAGATGACACAACCTTGTTGCTTGCTGAAAATGAAGCACTTACTGATGAAGATCAAAGACCACAGCCTTCAGTAAGGATTACTCCTCAACATAAAGAAAACAAGAAACCTCACAATTGGTCCAATAAGCAACATCATGATAAATACAGAAAAGATTGAAGTTGTCAAGGATTTTATTTTACTTTATTTTACAATCAACACCCATGTAAGCAGCAGTTAAAAAATCAAACAATGCATTGCTTTGGGCAAATCTGCTGCAAAAGACCTCTTTAAAGTCTTAAAAAGCAAAGATGTCACTTTAAGGACTAAGGTGCACCTGACCCAAGCCATGGTATTTTCAATTACCTCATATGCATGCCAAAGCTGGACAGTGAATAAGGAAGACTGAAGAATTGACACCTTTGAATTATGATATTGGCAAAGAATATTGAATGTACTGTGGGCTAGCAAAAGAAAGAACAAATCTGTCTTGGAAGAAGTACAGCCAGAGTGCTCCTTAGAAGTGAGGATGGCGAGACTTGGTCTCACGTACTTTGGACATGTTATCAGGAGGGACCAGTCCCTGGAGAAGGACATCGTGCTTGGTAAAGTAGAATGTCAGTAAAAAAGAGGAAGACCCTCAATGAGATAGACCGACACAGTGGCTGTACTAATGGGCTCAAACATAACAATGACTATTTGGATGGTGCAGGACTGGGCAGTGTTTCATTTTGTTGTACATAGGTTTGCTATGAGTCAGAACCAACTCAACAGCACCTAACAAAGACAACAAATCATTAAGCCTTTCTTCCTAGTCAGTTTTAGTCTGGAGGCTCTGCTGAAAGCTGTCCATCATGGGTGACCCTGCTGGTATTTGTGATACCTGTGGCAGAGCTTCCATATCGTAGCAACATGGGGCCACCACACTATGGTAAACTGACAAATGAGTGATGGTGACAAAGCATAGAGAGTGAGAAAGCAGATGAGGAAGAAGCCCAGAACATACTGAACTGGTTCAGTCAGTTTGCTGCTACCTTTAAAGTATATTTAAAATTTTTCTGAACACAACCTGTGGAAAAAGTAGCTTTAAGAAGGGCAGTTAAAAAATTATTTATGTGAGATCAAATTGACAACAGCAACTCAGAAGGTTTGATGGGAAGCCTAGGGGACAGTGGGTTGGAGATAATGGTGATGGAATAATTTGGAAAAGGATAGTGACAATAGCAGCACAACTGGAGGAAAGTAATCGATGTCACTGAATTGTACATGTAGAAACTTTCAAAATGGTGTAACTTTGGCTGTGTATATTTTCACCAAAAAAAGGTCTTCAAGGTCGAGAAGGGAGAGTGTTGACATGTCGTGGGGTTGTTAACCAATGTCATAAAACAATATGTGTTCTAACTTTTTAATGAGAAACTATTTTGTAAACCTTCATCGAAATACAATAAAAAAATTTTAAAAAGAAGGGTAGCGTTTCATGCCAGGATGATATTAAGACCCTCATAGATTTCTTACCTCTTCTATTTTTATTTTTATTTATTTTTTATTTTTTTAATTGTACTTTAGATGAAGGTTTACAGAACTAATAGTTTCTCATTAAACAGTTAGTACACATATTGTTTTATGACAATGGTTAACAACCCCACGACAGGTCAACACTGTCTCTTCTCAACCTTGGGTTCCCTATTACCAGCTTTCCTGTCCCCTCTTGCCTTCTAGTCCTTGCCCCTGTGCTGGTGTGCCCCTTCAGTATCATTTTGTCCTATGGGTCTGTCTAATCTTTGGCTAAAAGGTGAACTCCCAGAGTGACATCATTACTGGGCTCTAAAAGGGTGTCCGGGGCCATACTCTTGGGGTTTCTCCAGTCTGTCAGGCCAGTAAGTCTGGTCTTTTTTTTTCTGAGTTAGAATTTTGTTCTACATTTTTCTGCAACTCTGTCTGGGACCCTCTGTTGTGATCCCTGCCAGCCTCTTCTATTTTTAAATATTTCTTTGATTTCCTCTTTGAAAGATACCTAGTATTTACCTAAGCAAGACGTTTTAACCTGAGCTTAACTCATTATGTTTTTCTCTGGCTTTTAAGGTAACACACAATTAGGTGACATTTTCATTTATAAATCCTACAGTTGTAACAGAATTCTGTGTCTTGGGGAAATGCAGCCATAAATCTCACTAAGTATCTATATATTCCTTTATTTTTATAATGGTCCTCATATATTTAGTGTCGAGGCCACGTGAAAATGCCAGTTCTACTTTTCTCCTCTCTATATATTCTTATCTTTTGAAGTCACTTAACTTCCATGGAAAATCATTAATTTTTCTATTTTTTTGTTTCTTTGCTTACTTAATACAAACCCTTGAAATAAATTGTAAATGGCAAAATAAACATGATACACTTCATGATAGATTCTGAGTGTTAACACCAGGATTAGAAGTCCCATGAATGTTTGTTTTCTTTCAATTCCAATGACAAAGCCTTGTCTCTGTCTCATCTCACAGACCAAGAATTTGATCCCATAAATTTGAAAGTCAAAAATCAGAAAGGGAAGCTGAATGCTGTCATTGTGAACTGCCAGTCTTCCCTGGAAGCCAATGGAAATATTACCGGTAAACATCTCAGGTTGCTTTTCCAGAGTTGCTCTGCCTTGGCCTGTGACTATTCACCTCTTGTGCTGTGCAGGCCTTTTCGGTACCCCTTTCTGTCTCAGCATTTCTGGTGACTCCCTGCCCCGCTCTGATTTTCTCCCTTTGCCCCCACTGACAGTGGAATTCTCTTAATGGTGCGTACAAATCCACACACAGACATATCTCATTGGAGTTGTCTCATGAAGGATATGTATTTAAATTAGTATAGACGTTTGTTTTTCATTCTATGGAACATTAGGACAACCTTCTAATGGAGTGCTTCCGAGAATAAAAGACAAAAGAGAAGCCAGTTGTTTGGCAATTATGAAATGCAAAAGACACGTAATGACCACGCATTTTTGTATGGCACATAGGAAAGAGGTTTGTCTGGGAATTTTTAGTTTCTCACTTAGCTTTTAGCTTCTCACTGAAATCATAAGGTTCAGAAAACATCTGATATTGACTGACAGAAATTGAACTTAATGAATATTTCATGGTGACAGATTTTATTTTGCCAGATATTGCTGATAACATCCATGCTTAATGAAAGCATCCATTAGAAGGCTGTAATGTTAATTTAGTATGAAAAATATGGAAACCCTGGTGGCGTAGTGGTTAAGAGCTACAGCTGCTAACCAGAAACTCAGCCATTCGAAACCATCAGGCGCTCCTTGGAAACCATATGAGACAATACAATGCAGCTCTATCAGGGATTTTGCATTGAAATGATCGCTTTAGAGTTTTAATAGATGTCTCCATAGCATACAATTATTATGAAAAATATTGTATAACTCATAATGTGAACATTATAGTCTAATTAACTTGAACCATTGGGATAGGCACGCGTCAGAATCACTCTTTATTCTTCTTTTATACTTGGCATTTATAGTTTACAGAAATGTAAAGTCTAGAGAATGCAGGGTTTAACATGTTTCTTAATGAGTTTTATCATATTTGGGGTAAACTAAACCACACATTTTCAAATTAAAGAAAAAAAATCTATGCCAATAAAGCTCTTCTCTCTGGGTAAGTTGAGTTTCTCTTTTTCTTAGAATTTGTTCCATGACACTACAGTTGTAATTTTTATTTCACGTCACTACATTAGCTATTCACCATTTATGTTGTTGAAAAAAGTTATTTGCAGTGAAGAAGTCATTGGCTTTCAAAATTCTATCATGCAATCTCCAGCATCATTTCTATCACCAAGTGCATATTTTCCAACTACCGATCCTTCTTCGTTTCCAACTTTGGCATTCCAATCATCAGTAATAAGCAATGCATCTTTGTTGATGTTTGGTCAATTTCAAACTGCAGAAGTTGGTAAAAATCTTCAGTTTCCTTATCTTTGGCATTAGTG